GAAGGTCCGTGGGTCCACGGCCCGTGCCCTTACAGGATCCTTTCCAGCTCCTGCCGAGGGAGCGGCGGCTCCACTGAGATGCGCCTCCAGCAGCGCCACCCCTTCGAAGCAGAATCAAACATGCATAAACATCAACGTTTTGGCGCTCCGCACGCATTTCAGGGATCTGCGCTGGACCCCCTCCCTGGCGCGCGGAGCGCGCCAGGGGCGGCGCCGGAGGCGCCGCTGGGGGGCCCCAACGCCGATCCGAGAAATCCGCGCGGACCTCCGAGTTTTTATGTTTATGCCACTTGTTGTTCCCCTGTTTTGGGTTTGGGTTTTGGGTTTTGGGTTTGGGATTTCTGGGATCTGCGCTGGACCCCCTCTCCCTGGCGCGCGGAGCGCGCCAGGGACGGCGCCGGAGGCGCCGCGCTGGGGAGTCCAGCGCGGAGGCGCGCGGCAGCGCTGTCGGCTCCGCGCGCCAGGAAGAGGGGGTCCCTTCCTCCCCCCCTCCCTCCCTCCTCCCTCCTACCTCCATCCTCCATCCTCCCATTTTCCCTCCTCCTCTTCTCCTCCCTCGTCCTCCTCCTCCTCCTCCTCCTCCTCCTCCTCCTCCTCCTCCTCCCCCTCCCTCCCTCCCTCCCTCCCTCCCCTCCCTCCCTCCCTCCGTCCAGCGCAGACCCCAGAAATCCGCGCGGAGCGCCCGAAGGAATCTGTGTCCATGCAGCTCGGTTCTTCTTAACCCTGTGGTGGATGGAGAAACCAAAAGGTACCGATACCGCTGTTCCCCGGGCCTCTCCTGGGGTGCGTTCTGGCCAGGATTTCGAGGCGAATCCAGCGGCGGCGACGAGATCCTCCGAGGAGGCCCCCAAAAGGGGAAAACGGCCGAAGGGTAGAGGTATGGCTACCTTTCCCTCCTCCGAGTGGAGTGCAGGGCGGGGCGGTTAGGTTCCCCGCATGCCCCTCCTGCCTATGGTTCAAACTCGGATTCACGTGTGTGAAGCAATGTTGGGTTCCCCGCTGCCCCTCCTCGTGCCTCTTGCGCGCGCGCCGCCTGCCTGCCGCTGTTATGGGCTCGAGGGTGGGACCGCCAGTCCCGCCCGCCCACCCTTCTCTTATGCTGTCCCTGTGTCGGCGGCGCCGCTGCGCCTGCCTCCTGAGTTGGGGCCGGGAGCGGCCTCGAAGCGTTCTGGTGCCTCGCCAGTGAAAAAGAGGAGGGAAGGGAGCGGGAGCGGAGCGGAGCGGAGTGGAGCGGGAGCGGGAGCGGAGCGCAGCGGAGCGGAGTGGGGCGGAGGTATTTTTGCCCTCTTCTGAGGGGAGTGCAGGGCGGGGCGGCGAACCTGCTCATCAGCGGCGGCGCGGGGCAAAGAGCGTAGGGCAGCAACGGCTGGCCGCGGCCCGGCTCGCCGGGCGGGCGGGTCGGGTCGGGCATGGGTCCTTGTCCGATCCGACGTAAGAGTGACCTTTCGCCGGAATGTTTTTCGGTGCGGGCCCAATGGGGCCCCCCGATCGCTGATCTCGAGGCGGCAGCGGCGTCTTGCGCGCTTGTGTTTGGCCACCCCGCGACCCCAAAAACCGCGCACCAAAGGTCATTTTTACCCAGGGTCGCTCTTGCGTGTAGCCGACTTGTTCGTTCGCCCTACTCCGTTCAAGCAGTGGGCTAAGCGTTTTTCAGGAAGGAACAACAACACACAAACACAATGAATCGTCGATTCCCCGGAAAATATAGAAAAATATGGGAAGTGGGAGGGAAGGTAAAAACCAAAACAATATGAGACAAATGTTGGGAATCCTGCTATTTGTGTCTATTTGCTTGTGTGCTCCAGGGCCCCTTCAGTCTTGGCTCGCCTCTAGGCCCGCCAAAGAATGCTCTAAGAATTTCTTTGTGGTTTGCACGATATATTCTTAGAACAGTTATGGACGAGTTTGTCTTGTTGCTAACGCATCGGGCTCATGTTCTAAGAACAGTGTTTTTGTTTCTGGAACACCCCTGGGTTTTAAGAAAATTTCGTGGCAGGCCAACTATAGGATTGCCGGGACGGTCGGTCCCTGCTCGATCTTTCTCCGTATAAGCAGGTCCGCCCAGTCGCCTTCCGAGGCCGGTCGGAAGGGCGGGCCGGGCGTTTCGCTAGAGACCTCTGTACCGCTTACGATCGCGAGCGTGAGCGTTGGCAACAGCTTCAGAGATGGCGAGCCGCTGCCAATATGCGGCTCTCGTCTTTGCGCCGCGCTCGTTCGTCCTTGCAAACTTGCAACGATTTGCGGGTTGAGGGCGGGTCGTTTTCAAGATGTGATTGTCGCCATAGCGCCGCGCGCATCCGTTTTGACATGTGGGAGCGCTTCCTGGATGAAGGGCGGGGTGTTTTCACAATGAAGTTTTCGCCTTGGTGCCGCGCGCATTCGTTCGAAGCGTCTGCAAGATTCTTGCGGATTCCCGTGGTTGACGCACCAGAAATGGTGCTTGAAATGAGTTAGTTACGATTTCCAGGGCGCGCCAATTACATCGATTCGCGGTGTTGAAGTCCCACGAACGGCGGTTTAGCAAGATTCGGGATCGTCGGAGTCTTACGAATGGTGTTTTGGCACGCTTCAGGATCTTCGGACAGTTGTCTCCCAACGGGGCGCTTCCCTCAGTGGAAATATTAATCCTTGCTGGGGCCCATGAGTGGGGAACTTGGGGGGAAGGTTCATTCCAGCATCGTTGATGATTCTTGGGCTTGCACTGTTCCTCCTCCCCCTCCTCCTCCTCCTCCTCCTCCTCCTCCTCCTCCTCGTCCTCCTCCTCCTCCTCCTCCTCCTCCTCCCCCTCCTCCTCCTCCCCCCCCAACCTCCTCCTTCCCCCCCAACCTCCTCCTCCTCCTCCTCCTCCCTTCCTCCTCCCCCCTGTCCTCATGGGGTGACTCCCTCCGCCCCTTCCTGTCGCGGTCCCGCACCCGCGGCGTGCGTCGACCGGGCTGTGAAGTCGGGCTCGGACGAGCCCCGGGCAGGCGCCCCACGCCCGGCCCGGCCAACCCATCCTGTCCAGGGGGCACCTGCGTTGCCTATCCTGTGCTCCGCTCTGGCCGGGGCTTGGGGCGGAGGTGCTCGATCGGTGTGGTTCAAGCAGTGGCGAAGCGTCCCGGCATGCCGATAGCCCTACCAAACAATGTTTTAAGAACCTTGCTGTGGTTTCCACGAAATGTTCTTAGAACATTTCTGGCTGGGACTGTCTTGTTTTATCACATCGGGTTTATGTTTTTGGAACAATGTTTTTGTTTTTAGAACATTTTTGGGTTCTAAGAACATTTCGTGGTAGGACTACAGGAATGCCGGCACGGTCGGACCCTGCTCAAGTGGTGCCCTTCCTCCTCGAAGGCGTCCTTCTCCTCCTGCTGCTGATGATGCTGTCGGTGCTGCTGCACCTGCTGCTGCTGCTGCTTGTCGTCCTCGGTCGCGTCCTCCTCGGGTGCCCGCCTGTGCGATTTTTGTCGGGCGCCGGGCCTGCCTGGTTGCGCCTCCGGTCCAGCTTCTGCTCGTGTCGCGTGCCCGGGAGGGTGGTCCAGCGTCGCCCCAAGAATTCGGAGGGGCCCCCCAGAAGAGCACTGCCTTCGCCTCCTTCCCCTTCCTCCCTTCCAGCGCCAGCGGACAGTCTTTCAGAGCCCTCGCTGCAAGGTCGCTTCCGAACCCTCTCTGGGTCGGGGCTCCTTGCTACAAGGATGTTGCGTCTGACGGTTCTGCCGCCAGCTCAATGGGAACACGCTCATCCAATCCCATCCTACGCCCCCCCCTCCTTCCTTTTCCTCCCCCTTTTTCTTGAGATCGCCCCACCTCCCGCCGTCGCCGCGTCGCTGCTCATCCGTGCCCTGGAATCTCTCATCGGCAGTGCTTGAAGAAGGTAGCGTGGAGAAACAAACACATCCGTCTCCTTCCCCCCTCCAGCCTCCAGCCATCTCGTTTCTCCCCCCCTCCCCCTTCCACCCTCCCACCCTCTCTTCTGCCTCCCCCTCTCCCCCATCCCCCTTCCTACTCTCGGCAGCGGCGGACATCCCTTGGAAGGAGGAAGGGGACGAGAAGGAGAACAAGGAGGTTAACGAAGAGGAGGACAAGGACGACAATGAAGCAGAGGAGAACGGGGAGGAGGAGAGGGCGAGGACGACGAGGAGGAGAAAGGAGAGGAGGACGAGTAGGAGGACGAGGAGGAGGAGGAGAAGGAGGAGAAGGAGGAGGACGAGGAAGAGGACGAGGAAGAAGAAGTGGAGGAGGATGGTGGAGTAAGAAGAAAAGGGGAGGAGGAGGAGGAGGAGGAAGAGGAGGAGGATATCGGTGGCATCGGGGCGATCGCTCGACAACGCTAGCAGCTCGAAGCTCGAAGCTCGAATGAGGAGCAGGAGGAGGAGGAGGAGGAGGAGGAGGAGGAGGAGGAGGACAAACGACAGAGCGGCGGACGAGGAGGGCGCCAGCCCCAGCCAGGCCGCCGATGCCTCGGCCATTCCTCCTCCGAGCTCTCCCCCCCCTCGGCGAAACGCAGAGGGGTTGGGGGGGAGGCGGGAAGGCTTGTCCGAGGGAGGCGGCTCCTTGGACGGCGCGAGCCATCTCTGTGGATGTGAGGCCGGCGACTTCCGAGGTACAGCCTCCAGAGAAGCTTTCCCGCGGCCCCCATTACCCACCCCGTTGCGCGCCGCCGGCCCCTGCGTGTGCGTGCCGCAGGCTGTCGGCACCGCCTGACCCCGAGGCTGTGCCTCCCCGGCCTCGCCCTGAGGCTGCGCCCTCCCCCTGTCCTCCCCCCCATTTGAATTCAAGCTTCGCGCGGAGGGGGAAAAAGGGAGGGGGAGTCAGGAGGGGGAAAAACATACAGACACAATTAAATGTCGACTTCCAGGAAAATATGGGGAAATATGGGAAGTGTGGGGGAAGACAAAAACCCAGAAAATATGAGAAAATATGGGGAATCCTTTAATTTGAGTGGATTTATTAGTGTGTCCCAGGGCCCCTTTAAAGAGGTGCGCTCTCGACCCGCGAAAAAAAAAGTGTGCGTGCCGCAGGCAGCTGGAGGAGCTCGACGCCACCACGAAGATCCCCTTCGTGATGATCGAGCTGACCGGCGAGGCCCGCCGTCGTCCCCGCGCGGCGTCGTCTCTCTCTCTCTCTCTCTCTCTCTCTCGGGGGTCTCTGCGGATGTGGCCGGACGCTTCCAAGAGCTTTCATGGGCTGCCTGATTCAACCAGTGGCGAAGCGTCCCCGCTCGCTGATAGCCCCACCGAACAATGTTCTGAGAACCTTTGTGTAGTTTCCACGAAGTGTTCCCAGGACATGTTTGGCGGAGTCTGTCTTGTTCGAACACATCGGGTTCATGTTCTAAGAACATTGTTTTTGCTCTTAGAACATGTTTGGGTTCTAAGAGCGTTTCGTGGTATGACTATAGACTATAGGACTGCCGGGACGGTCGGTCCCTGCTCAACTGATGGCTCCCTGTGGGCGACGCAACGAAATGGGCTCGTCTGCGCCGACGTTGGGGCGCGTAAGCTGGCCACGTAGGGTCGCGCACAGTCGCTCTCGTCCTCAATGTAGCGTGCCGCGCTGGCGGCCCGCGTAAGCTGCCGCGTAAGGCCAATACATCATCTCGCGCAAGAGCCGTCGTTTGTTGTCGTTCTTTTATTTCTTTGTCTTTGCTGACGAGTTGTTTTGTCTATCGGCAGTTTGCTTGTAAGTGGTCTACATGCGTATACATATAAAGATATGTATGCAGATGTGTCTGTTTTTCCAGCACACGTCTCCAGGCAAAGAGCAAAGGGGTCGACACGCGAACGATGGGAGCCACTGTAAGACTCGTGGGATCGAGCAGGTGTTGAGGCCTGCTGTGCGATTTCCGTCAGTGAGTGACTGCACGGCTCAAGCTCGGGTGCAGCCCGATCCTAGAGGCACTCTGGGATCACTGACCCTTGCGAACCGTTGCCTCCGAGTGGTCCGATCCAACCCGATGTCTACATCTGTATGGTCATGCTCAGACGACAGTAGATGACCTGCCGGGTCCGGCATCGGCTGGGCGACGTGGTCTCTCACGGTGTGGCCTCAGCAAGCGGGCTGCCAGATCTGGAGTCGGTCGGTCTCCCACTGCCGTCCCGTGTCGCTCGCACGGTGTCGCAAGTCCCCATTCTTGTCCACATTCCTGTCACAGTCCAGTTGTCACTGTCCACAGTTGTTCCTGTCCACTGCTATCGTCCAGTTTTGTTGCAAATCGTCAGTTATCCCCGTCCACATCCCATTCACCCCACCGTGAACACCCTTTATCTCGGCGTCCCATCGTGTTTGCGTAAAGTTGTCCAGGGTTTTCTACTGCAAGGGTGTCCTCTTTTCTATTCCTCCATCTCTCCGTCCTTAGCCTTCCTCATCATCCCTCCTTTCTCCCCCCCCCTCCCTGCCAGTCCATCCCCCCCTCCCGTTATCCTCTTCCTTCGTTCTCCCCTCCCATTTCCGTTCTTCCTGATCCTACTCCTTGCATCTCCTCATCGGTCTCCCCCCCCTCCCTTCCTCCTCCAACGGCGAGAATGATGAGGATGAACAGGATGAACAGAAGCAGAAGGAGGACGAGGCGGAGAAGGGAGCTGCAGGAGTGAGGGAGAGAGCGAGCTGTTTTGAAGAGGCGGGGCCACGATGAGGACCACATATTTGCGCTGTTTCGGAATAGTTGCCCGGATTGGATAAGGAACACTTCCTTCTCAAAAGGGGCTCGGTCGTTCCTTTGGTCTGCATGCGTTCCGCTGCCCTCTTAGCGGCGAGCCCCCCTGGTGTTCCCTCGGACTTCCTGGACTCGCCTGGGAAGAAAAGAAGGAGCTCCGCTCCTTACGTATCGTTGCCTGGGTCAGGCCGAAGTGTGTAGCTCTTTTTCCTCCATCGATGCGACGCGCGTGCCGCTGCGGTTCGATTCCGCTCCCCCGATGCGCGAGGCCGCCCGCTCCCTCGGGCGTTCCGCCCTGGCCACGGCGCGGCCGCCGCGGGGGCACGGCGCGCCTCTCCCCGCGCGTCGTCCCCCGGCCCCTCCGCACGGGGGGGGCCTCTCGGCCCGGGAGGGGCCCGGCGCGCCTCGGGCAGGCCCGGGAGTTCCAGGCCTCCCTCCTGCTCCTGCTCCTCTTCCTCCTCCTCCTCCTCCTGCTCCTCCTCCTCTTCTTCCTCCTCCTCTTCCTCCTCCTTCTCCTCCTCCTCCTCCTCCTCCTCCTCCTCCTCCTCCTCCTCCTCCTCTCCCCCCAACCTCCTCCTTCCCCCCCAACCTTCTCCTCCTCCATCTCCTCCTCCTCCTGCTCCTACCGTGCCACCCAGGACCCGTTTCGTTCATTGTAGGCCTCCTAGATGGATGGGGTCAGAGGATCGCGCCGCATCGCCGACGCAGCGCCAATGCGGCCCGATGCGGAGCCCGATTTGCTCCACGCCGGCGTCGCCGATGCACCGCCCACGTCGACGATGCGTCGCCGGTGCATCCCCAATGCAACGCCGATGCATCAGCGATGCGGCACGATCCACCAACCCCACCTACTCCGACCCCATCCAAGAGGCCTCTACAGGAGCGCGGGGCGCAGGGATCCCGGACCGCAGGTGAGCATCAGTGGGTGGCCGCATGGGAGCCTAGACGCGATCGCGTCGTGAAAGATCGGGCCGGGAGGAGGTGTTGGGCGATTTGCGGCCACGGGGTGCCCTCGCCGGGCCTCGGGACCGTCAGGAAAGATTCAGGACGAGAAACCGGTCCCGGGGAAGAGGTTGGGGCTTTCAGGGACGCCGTCCTGAAACAATCAGCACGTCGCATGTCTGGGAGCCCCACCCCACCATCCGAAGAGGGAAAGGTAGCCACACCTCTACCCCTCGGCCCGTTTCCCCGTTTTGGGCCTCCTCGGAGGCCCTCGTCGCCACCGCTGGATTCGCCTCGGAACGCTGGTCAGAGTGCGTGTGCGTGTGCGTGTGCGTGTGCGTGTGCGTGTGCGTGTGCGTGTGCGTGTGCGTGTGCGTGTGCGTGTGCGTGTGCGTGTGCGTGTGCGTGTGCGTGTGCGTGTGCGTGTGCGTGTGCGTGTGCGTGTGCGTGTGCGTGTGCGTGTGCGTGTGCGTGTGCGTGTGCGTGTGCGTGTGCGTGTGCGTGTGCGTGTGCGTGTGCGTGTGCGTGTGCGTGTGTGTGTGCGTGTGCGTGTGCGCGTGTGCGTGTGTGTGTGTGCGTGTGCGTGCGTGTGCGTGTGCGTGTGCGTGCGTGTGCGTGTGCGTGTGTGTGTGTGTGTGTGTGTGTGTGTGTGTGTTGTGTGTGTGTGTGTGTGTGTGTGTGTGCGTGCGTGCGTGTGCGTGTGCGCGTGCGTGCGTGTGCGTGTGCGTGTGCGTGTGCGTGTGCGTGCGATCGTGTGGGTGTGTGTGTGTGTGTGCATGTGCGGCCGGAGGGAAGCTCGAAGGGCGAGGATCTCGTCACGGAAGGGGGGGATCAGCTCGGGGTCGGTTAGGCCGCTCCCGAGTCAGGGGTAGCTATGGGTTCGCGCCTCCGGTGCCCAAACCGGAGTTGCCCCAGACCGCAGTCTTCCCAGGCAAATCGGGCGTCCAAAGCTTCCGGGAAGCTTCCAGGCCGCCAGGCCGCTCCACCCCTGCGCGCCATCACAGAATGGACTTGGGGGAGGCGGGTCCTGGAGGTGCCCCCCCGTTTTCAGGCGGCTGAGTTCAGATCGCGGTCGGTTCGACGATCTGTTTTCGGCTCCGTCTGACGAGTTGTCCGCAGCGAGCGCTGACAGAAGCCAGGAGTGCTCTTGCCTATCAGCCCACGCGCCCTTCAGGATGCTCGGCCAGACTGTGGACTGCGAGGGCCCTCTCTGTGCCCCGGGGCCGTCAACAGCAAATTCCTGGCGAGGGGCCCTAGCCGTGTGCAGGCATAGGTACAGCAAGGCAGGTGGGACGAAAGAGAGGGAGCTCCCTATGGGGTGAAAAGCGTGTGAGGGGTGTGCCAACATTGGGCGGTGCCGCCATGCGGGGTCTGGCGCTCGCGCGGTTGGTGGAGCCCCCTCTGGGGCAGCGACGTGCGCAAGGTGTGTGCCGAAATGAAGCGGCGCCGCCATGCGGGCGCTGGCATTTGGGCCATAGTTGGAGCTCCCGATAGGGCCACGAGACGTGTGAGGGGTGTGCCAAAATGAGGCGGCGCCACCATGCGAGCGGTGGCATGTGGGCCTTAGTTGTGACTCTCAGTGGGGCCACGAAACGTTTGAGGGGTGTACCGAAATGCGGCGGCGCCGCCGTGCGAACGGCGGCAGTTGAGCATTAGTTGGAGCTCGCTGTGGGGCCACGAAGCCTGTGAGGGGTATGCCGAAATGAGGTGGCGCCGCCATGCGGGCGCTAGCATTTGGGCCTTGGTTGGAGCTCCCTGTAGGGCCACGAAACGTATGCAGTGCGTGCCGAAATAAGGTGGCTCCGCTATGCGAACGTTGGCATTTTGACATTACGAAACGTGTGAGGGGCGTGCCGAAATGAGGTGGCTCCGCCATGCAAACGCTGGCACTTGGACCTTAGCTGGAGCTCGCAAGTGGGGCTACGAGACTCCGCCATGCGGACGCTGGCATTTGGGCCTTAGTTGGAGCTCGCTAGTGGGGCTGCGAAACGTGAGAGGGGTGAACCGAAATGGGCACGCAGAAAGCAGAGGCAAAGGAAGGACGGCGAGCAGGAGAAGGAGGAGGAGGAGGAGGACGAGGACGAGGACGAGAAGGAAGAGGAGAAGGAGCAGGAGGAGGAGGAGGAGGAGGACGAGGACGAGGAGGAGGAGGAGAAGGAGCAGGAGGAGAAGGAGGAGAAGAAGGAGGAGGAGGGGGAGGAGGAGGAGGAGGAGGAGGAGGAGGAGGAGGAGGAGGAGGAGGAGGAGGAAGAGGCAGAGGAGGAGGAGGACGAGGAGGAGGAGGAGGAGGAGGAACCCCTTCCCCCTCCTACTTCTCATGGTGGCGGTGGAAAACAAGCCCAGCATGTGATGGAAGCAGTGGGGACGACGACCAGCAGCATACGGTAGGCTCGTGCCCCGATGGTGCGCCGGCGACGCCGGCGAATTCGTTCCAGGTTGGATTCCGCCTGATAGGACGACGCGGAAGCACCGATGGGCACGGTAACGCCACAGGACCCGAGGAAATTCAGCCTTGAACGATCGAGGCCGCGATCGGTTCAAGGTTGAACGATCTATGCGGTGTCAGAAGCTTTTGCGCGCGCCGGCGCCGCGCGAACCTACCGGCATGATGAGCGAGGATGAGCAAACGGCATGAGATAAACTCTCGGCGGTCCGCGCGGAGTTCTCGGATCGGCGCTTGACCCCCGTCCTTAGCGATCTGAGGGCGCCGTGGGTGGCGCCAGAGGCGCCGACAGGGGGTTCCAGCGCCGATCTGTCGGAAGTCCGCGCGGACATCCGACAGTTTATGTTCTCCCGTTTTGTCTTATTTCAGGAGGGGGAAAAACACACAGTCACAAGTCATCGTCGATTCCTAAGAAAATATGGGAAAATATGGACAAGGGGGTGGGAGACAGAAACCTCGAAAATATGATACAATATTGGGAATCCTGGGACTTGTGTGTATTTATGTGTTGTTTTGTGTGCCTACTCATTAGTCTGTTTGTGCAGGACGTGTCGTCAGTATCTCCGTAGACGCTATCCATAGGGAAAGTCATCTCTTCAGCAGGGGCAGCCGTCGGTCTTGGGCACGACTTGCTACTGGGCACCGCCTTCCACCAGATACGTCCTAACTTTATGTCGGGCACGTCCCTCTACAGGAGGAACATTCAAAAATAATCAGAAATAGTCTGGGGACGATCTTTTGACTATGTTTGCCCATTCGGGGGGCATTTGTTGTGAATATTGTTTTACTGGTCGCCCAGAATCCCCCTGTGGGGGGACACGCCCGACCTAAACTTAATCCCAATCATCCGCCCGCTGCGATCGCCGTGAAGAAATCTACGTTCCAGGATCGGGTGTGAATGTGCTCGTGCGCATTGGGGTGTTCCTGGTCTTCGGGAGGCTCGACGTCGCCAACACGAGCCTCCTGTAGGCCTCCGCCTTTCCCTCACCGCCCCTCTCCACTCTCCCCTCCCCCCTTTTCCCGCCTCACCTTCTGTCCCGTTTCCGTCCCTCCTCGCCCTCTCACCCCGCTTCCCCTCTCCCTCCTCCTCCTCCCCCTCCCCCTTCCCCTCCCGACCCCCTCGTTCGCCACCCCCCTTCCTCCACCTCCTCCCCACCGCTTCATATGCGGGAGAGGGGGGGCTCGAGGTGGCGGGCGGGGGGGCGCTGCAGGCCCCCGAAGGCCTCCAGGGTCCCCAGCGAGACCTCCAACCTCCAAGCAAGGCGCAAGCGAATCGGTGTTTTGGCGATATCGAGGGCCGCTCTCTTGCTGATCTCGCCTGCGGCAGGGGAGGGAGCGAGGACGGGACGGAGGGAGCACGAAAACAGCACGGAAGCGGGAGGCGCAACTTCGATCGCGCCTGCGTCCAAGACGCTCCATCCTGGCACACTGACCCTCGATCCTCGATCCTCCTCCTCGATCGATCCTGGCACATCGACCCTCGATCCTCCCCTCGACCCTCGATCCTCCTCTCGACCCTCTCGAAGGCCCCGACGGCTTCTTAGACGCCGTCCCCCCCACCGCGCCACCCCTCTGCGGTCTCCGGACGGGGCGAAGACGAAGATTCCATCCGGTCGAGAGCAATGCCGAAAAATCTGAGGGCGTTCCAGAACACTTTGAGAAAGCCGTGGCGCCCGAGACATCCTTCGGAGCCGCCAGATCTCAGAGATTCTCCATGTATCTTCACCCGGTGGTATCCTCGTCCTGGCTTCTTCTTAATTTCTGCGCATGGAGACCCTCCGCTGCGACGACTGTGTGTTACGTATCCTTCCTCTTCGCCTGCGGTCTTCCCTCCCCCCATCGGCCCCTCGCGCCGCCCCCTTGCTTCGGGGGTGGACAGACCTCCTACCCTGACACGTCGATTAGTGAATTGTCCGTTTTCGGTTCTCGAGAGGGCACCGCGGCCGTCACTTTCCAGTCTTGCGCCCGCCAGGTTTGGGCCCGAGGTCGTTTTCACTAAACCACGTTTTACTAAAGGGGGTTCTGTCCATCCCCGATTGCTGCCTTGCGGTCATCTGCGCGTGAGGACCCGCTGCGACGATCGCTTCGAGGCATCCTTCGCTTTCGCCTGCGGCCCTCCCTTCTCCCCCCCCCCTCGCTCCGCAGCGCGCCAGGCGGATGGCGAGGGGTGGGTCGAGATCACCGGCAAGGACCCGCGGCTGCGCCCTCCTCCTTCCTCCTCCTCCTCCACCTCATCTTCCTCCCCTTCTTCCTTTTCCTCCCCCCCTCCTCCTCTTCCCCCTCCTCCTCGTCCTCCTCCTCTTCACCCCCCTCTTCCTCCTCCTCCTCCTCCTACTCCTTCACCTCCTCCTCCTCCTCCTCCTTCTCCGCCTCCTCCCCTTCCTCCTCCTCCTCCTCCTTCCTCCTCCTCCTCCTTCCTTCCCCCTGCCCCTCCTTCTTTGCCTCCTCTTCCCCCTCCTTCTCCTCTTCCGACTGGCTGGTTTCGAGGTGATCGTTTCGAAACAGTCGTTTCGATGTTTCATTGGACAATCTTCCCCAGGCCATAGGTCGGACCTATTACCCCAGCGGGGGGTCCCAACCGGTGTGGTGATCACACCGCGCCGTGAGTTGGTGGGGACTCGGGGTCACCACGCGGTTTTGCATCGCGGGTCGTTCTCCGAGGATGTCTCGGGCGGCCAGGGCCTCTGGGGTCCCAAGGCCATGCGGTCACGGGCCGCGCGGTGAGGTCGTTGGTGATTCGGAGGTCACTACGCGGTTTGTCACCACACGGTTTTGGGACCCCCAGTGGTTCGCCCAGAGAAGTCGCAGCGTTGAATCGGGTTTGTCCCTCTACAGGGGGAATGTTCGAAAATAGGCCAAAAATAGTCTGGGAACGTTTTGTTGACAATTTTGGAGCATGTGTTGCTTATTCTTTGAATGTTTTGCATTTTCCGTTCAAAATCCCCCTGTAGGGGGACATGCCCGACCTAAACGTAGCGCTCCCAGAGTCCTCTCGGGATGCTCTCAGAGCGTTCTGGGGCGCTCCGGAGCGGCCGCGCGGCGCCCGATGCATCCGCCGGACCAGGCCTCACCTCATGTCGGGATGTCAATCCCAGCGCGACCCCCGTGTCATTGGGGATCGCACGGCGTCTAACGCAAGACAGAGCATAGAGCATAGCAACGCAAGTGCAGTGCTCCGCGTTGCGTTAGAACGGGAATGCCACGCGAAGCGATGAAGCACAGGGCGGCCCACATCAGATCAATCAACGCGCAGCAGTGCCAAGCATAGAGTACATTGCAGAGCGAGGCGAATCAGCGCAAACTGATGCAACGCAACGCGTAGCAGCGTAGCAATGCAGATCAACGCAACGCAGTGCGTACGAATCGATGCAAGTCAAGTCTGCGCGATACGAAGCAGTGCATCACATTGTCAGGCAATGCGAATCGGTGCAACGCAATTCACAGCGCATGTCAAGCAAGGCAATACAGATACGGTGCTTTGTTTTCCGTGGGTCCCCGAGGTCTCTCGACCCCTTCCTGGGTTTTTTGCGGGTCCATCCTTGTCGTTCTCCGACGATCCAGGGGCCAGAGGACTGCCCCCCAGAGGTTGAGGTTTAGAAGCCGAGATGCTGACGGCGTCAGAGGTCCGGGGGGCCCAGGACGAGTACCACGTCTACGCGCAGATCCACGAGTGGTTGGAGAACAACTGGGACTGCGAGAAGATGGATCCAGGCGGCGGCTGGGACCCCTGCGTGCCGTCCGCCTCGCCTCGGGAGGGGCCTGCTGGAGGTGTCGGCTTGTCGTCCGAGGCCCTTCGCGCCCTCGGGATGTGCCCTCCCCCCCGCTTGACGACCGTGACGACGTCGGCGTCGTTGCGCTCCCTCCTGGGTCGGGAGGAAGCGGCAGCGACATCGCGACCCTTCCCTCGTTTTCGCCCGTTTGGTCCTGCTGGGATGCCCTCGTCGCCGCGGCTCGCCCAGAGATCTTGGTCATCGCACCCTGGGAGTGGTCCTGCTGTGAGTCGCCGCATCGGCCTTATCATGTTCTTCCCAGAACATGGGCTGTCCCTCTCGTCCAGGAACTTGCCGAGAGCACCCCCGCTGCACTCGCAGACCTCCGGAGCTCGTGGAGTGCTCCAGAGGCCGCAGCCTCCCCTCCTAAGCCGGCGCTCTGCAGGGAGGAGCCCCCTCCTTTCTCGTGGGGGACCGAGCTCGATATAGAAGTGAGAGTGACCTCTTGCCGGGTTGACCTCTGGAGCGGGCCCCAAGGGGTCCCCCCGGATCGCTGACCGCGCAGCGGTAGCAGCGGCTCGCGCGCCTGGGTTCGGCCACGCCGCGTGCCCAGTTGAGCCGCGCACCAGATGCCACTCTTGCCTGGGGCCACTTCGTGAGTTCATCAGGAGGGACAGAAACACACAGACACAACGAATTGTCGATCCCCCAGAAAATATGGGAAAATATGGGAAGTGGGGGGGAAGACAAAGACCCAGAAAATATGGGAAAATATGGGGATCCTGTCATTTGTGTGTATTTATTTGTGTGTCCCAGGGCCCCTTCAGCTTAGCCGACCTCCTCTTCCTCGTCCTTCGCGCCCCCCCCGCCCCTCCTTCCCTCCCTTGTGGTCGCCGCGCTCTCCACAAGGGCGCTGGGAGGCCCCTCGCTCAGGAGAGGTCGCAGCCGACTGGCGGACGGCAGGCTGGGGTGCCCCCGACGACGTGGAGATTCGGGTGCGGGGTAGCGAGGCCGCCGGGCATGCCATGGGCAGGCGACGACGAGCTCGGCCTCAGTGGCCAGTACAATAGAGACTTGTGCCAAGAAGCCATGGGCTTCTGTGGTTCCGATGGTTTCGCCATGGAAAGCGTGACGCTCCCACACCAAAAGTCTATGGACGTATTGGGGTTTCAGGGTTGGGTTTCTTCTGGATGATTTCTTGTGGTCCAGCTCCTACTGCACAACTTCGGCCCAGGAACATCAGGACCGCTTTGATGGACCAGGACAGTGGCGGGACTAAGAACACTGCAGCTGGGGGTCGAACCATCCGCCAACTCTTCGCTCTCTCCACGTGGAATGTTCAGAGTCCTGGTTGGCAATGTCCTGGCTTCGAGGGCCCTGCCAACGGATGAAGCCTATCAATGCTGCACGGACGGACGCCCGCTTCCATGCCATCAGGCGCCGCCGTTTGTGCGGAGGGTGGCTGGGGGCGCCGAACTTGGCGCGGTGCGTAGCCCAGATCACCGATCGGTTCCTGTGCTCGGCGCGATCGACATTGGCACGGAAATAATGGAGACGACCCACCACAGTTCTGGTCCAGGTTGAACAGGGTTCGCTGTCGATGACGCCGCGGGGGATCGCGATGCACGTCGTTCTCCACGCGGGCGTGATCCCGGACAACACCCTAGGAGCGTATTTGTTCTAATGGCTATCTCTGCCTAATTGGTTTCTCTATCATGGGTTTTCTTTGGGTGACCTTTGGTTCCTATTATGTTTTCTTACGCTCTCAACATCGGGTGGCAAACCCATTCCCTCTTCGGGGGGTGCCCTTCTTCCTGGTTTTTTCCTGGCTCCCTCCTGGCGGGGCGGGAACGTGCAACACCCCGGAGTTCCGGGGGAGGCCGTTGGGATTCCCTTTGGATCCTCCCTCCCTCTTTGGGCTCGGATTCCAGCCGCGCGCCCGGGGCCCCAGAAAGCACGTGGAGCAGGCCGCCCCGGGCAGCGCACAGAACGCCTGGAGCGGAGTTGCTCCTGTCGTTCCCTTTCGGGGGTTGCTGAAGGTACCCTTGGGCCCAAGGAGCGCCCAGCTTTTCGCTCCACGTTGAAGCCCCTGGGCCTCGTGAGGGGTGCTCTGGAGGCCGCGGGGGCCTCCCTGGAAGTCCTGGGGGCACCTTGGGCCAGTGGCACTTCCCGCAACACCCGGCCCTGTCCTTCGCCGCTGGTCAACATGCCTTTCGCGCCTCGCCTGCGCCCTCGCGGCCGTCGCTGTTGCTCGTCCTGCGGATGTTCCAGCATCCTCTACACGCTCCCGCAGACTTCCCCTCCCATTGCGCCGCCTCCCCCTCTCTCTCTCTCTTCGCTTCCTAGGGCACTGCTGCATCCGTCTCCCCCTCTGCCGTCGTGCTCCCCCACGCAGCCCTCGACGCGTCGGTACGGAAGCTCGGCCTCGGCATCGTCTTCGTCTCCGTCGTCGTGGTCGACGCCGTCGCCGTTGCCGTCGTCGTCGTCATCGTTGTCGTGGTCGTCATCGTCGTGGTCATCGTCGTCGTTTGTCGTCTTCGTCGTCGTGGTCGACGCCGTCGTCGTCGTCGTCGTCGTCGTCGTCGTCGTCGTCGTCGTCATGGTCGTCATGGTCGCCATCGTGGTCGGCCACGGGAGGTGATCTTTCTGACGAGACCAAGATCCCTTTTTGCAAGGCGCAGTACAGATGGAACGGCTCGCCTCCCATGCTTGCGGGGAGTAGAGGACTGAAGGAGTCGGATCCACGGTGTACCAAGTAGTCTTCGACAGCGACGTCGACGATTTCGTCGGCATCTTCGCCCACGACGAAGACGACATTGACGAATGCGTCGTCGACCGCGACCGTCGCCTTCGCCGCCGCAGACGACGATGATGTCGACGAAGTCATCGCTGAATTTTCGTTTTAACCCTCTGGCGATAACGGGCGTCACCTGGAGAGGGAATGAGACACCTTGTAGCGTCACGATTTGCGCTGATTTCTTGGGAGTAGGTAGTGGAGTGACGCTTGTGTTCCCCATACAGCGCCGTCGCGAGCCCGCCCCGGTAACGTGCGTTACCACGATTAGGTGAACAACGGGGTCCATTGTCGAGTGGAGACGGCCGTTTTGGGTCGCCATTCTGGGTCTCTGAGGGCCACTTCTGGGCCATGGGGCAATCAAGCAACAGCTCGAAGTGAACCGCCAGCCCCAGCGAGGAGGTTGAGAGATCCAGGTGGCCCTTCCTCGGATAAAAGGACGAGCCGATATATGTCTGAAAAGGTGAAGAAGAAGCGGAGGGAGGACTAGCGCGAAGTGTGACGCCAGGACAGACGAGGGCAATGATAATGTGGAGGAGGAGGATGCGGAGGACAAGGAGGAGGAGGAGGAGGAAGAGTTGGAGGGGGAATGCTGTGGTTCTGTCTGATTGGTTCTCTGGGCCTCGGGGAGTTCCCTCGTCCGACGGCCTGGGTCCGCGCTGGGATCCTGGTCCCAGCGCGCTTTGGTAGAGGTATGGGTGAGGAGCGCAGTGACGAGAACGTGGTGTTGTGGTGGTCGAGGAGCCTAGAAGGGCTTCGCCTGGGTTCAGGGCGGGGGTGCAGGAAGCCCCCCTATGCGGGCGAGGACTGGGGGGGGGGGGGGGGCGGGGGGGATGAGGGCAGGGCAGGACGGAGAGGGAAAGGCGAGCACGGGGGAGGAAGGAGGGAGTGGAGTGGAGGGAGGGAGGAGGGAGGGAGGGAGGGATGAGGAGGGAGGGAGGAGGAGGAGAGATGGAAGAGGAGGAGGGAGGAGGAGAGGGAGGGAGGGAGGAGGCTGAGGAGGAGGAGGAGGAGGAGGAGGAGGAGGAGGAGGAGGAGGGGGGGAGGACGAGGAGGAGGAGGAGGAGGAGGAGGAGGAGGAGGAGGAGGAGGAGGAGGAGGAGGAGGAGCTGCTGAAAGAGATATCATGTGCCGCTGCCACTGATGCGCCACGTGCAGGCTTCAGCACGCTGTAGCAGGCCGAGAGCCGATGCCAATGCACCCAGACCCTCGTCTGAGCCCAACTCACTGCCGCATTGCCGCCTGGGGGCCGAGGCAGAAGCCACAGGAGCTCGAATACCTGTCACTCATTACAGCATGGGCAGTCGAATCGAAGCCCAACCACGCCCACTTACCCACGTAGACTGCGACAGGCGAGAGCATTGAGAGCCGAGGGCTCCACTGGCCTCGCATGTGCAACCAGCATGCAACCCCAAGGGCCCTCAATCATATGTCGAGGGGGCGCTCTCCTGAGGGGCGTCGCACGGGGAGCCTGACCCAAGCGCGACTCGACTCGGCGACCTCACGGGGTGGAAGTCGTGGGCGGTGACCTCGAGGTGCTCGCAGGCTGCCGCCGCCTCCCGCAGCATCTCAGGGCAGGGGCGTGGGCGGCACGATTGCCACTACCGCCGCCTCAGAGAGGCGCTCGGCGCAGGCGACGCCCCCGCCCTCGCGGTGCTCCCTCCTCTGCCAGCCGCGGGCGACCCGCGGGATGGGAGCGCCGCTCCAGGTGGCAACGAGGGCGCCCAGTTACGCAGCCGCGGCTTGCGATTCGCGATTCCTCATCCTGCCCCCCTTCCTTCTCCTCCTCCCTCTCCTCCTTCTCCTCCTCCTCCCCCTCCTCATCCTCCTCCTCCTCCTCCTCCTCCTCCTCCTCCTCCTCCATCTCCTCCCCCTCCTCCTCCTCCTCCTCCTCCTCCTCCTCCTCCTCCTCCTCCTCCTCCTCCTCCTCCTCCTCCCCCTCCTCCCCCTCGTCCTCCTGCTCTCCCCCCGGGGGGCGGCGCGTCAGCGCGATGGTGTTCGCGCTGTCGCGCAGCGCGAAGTGCCAGCATGGCTGCGCTTGGCGACGGGACCGCCGCGAGCCCCGCCGTGCTACCCGCAGGTGGCCAACGGCCGGGGCGCTCTCCGCTCATGGGCCGATTTTCCACCACCGTTACCATAGTAGAGGGGGGGAGAAGGCGGAGGAGGAGGAGGAGGAGGAGGAGGAGGAGGAGGACGAGGAGGAGGAGGAGGAGGAGGAGGAGAAGGAAGAGGAGGAGGAGGAGGAGGAGGAGGAGGAGCCTCCCCACCATCCCTGTTGCCCCGTCCCACCTATGGTAGCGGTGGTTGAAAATTGGCCCATCATCCGCTGCCCTCCGCTGCGGCGGCCTCCTCCGCTGCAGCCGCGGCCGCCGGCGCGGCAGCTGCCGCCTCGCCGCCCCCGCGGGCGCCTTGGTGCACCGCCTCGCCGCCGGTGTGTCGCCCCCGAGGCCGCCTCGCCCTCGCCGCCAGCAGGGGGACCCGCTGGGAGCTCGGGCCTCGAGCCCCGCCACCGCGGCCCTGCAGAGGTCCTCCGTGGTGCGCATGCAGGCTCATGGCCGCGGAGCCCCATCCCCAGGCCCGCGTGGCCCCTCGGGCCGGCAGGTAGCACAGCGAAGGGGGCTGCGAAGGGGTTTGCAAGTGTTTTCTGCTGCTTCGCGCGTGTACCCCTCTCTGCTGGCCGAGTATCTCAAGGTGCTCACCGAGGCCCCCCGGTACAGAGGAAACGCATACCAAGAAACACCCTGCTTGCCTCCAGGGTTTCGATGGTTTTATGATTATGACAAGCGTGACGCTCACACACCGAAAACCAATGGACGTCCCGGGGTCTCAGAGGTGAGTTTCTTGCGGAAGGTTTCTTGTGGTCGAGTTGCTATCATATTGTGTATCAAAGTATATCAGTGGCAGGGCGGCGCATCGCCGCTCTGCAACTCCTCCTCCTCCTCCTCCTCCTCCTCCTCCTCCTCCTCCTCCCCCTCCTCCTCCTCGTCCTCCTCCTCCTCCTCCTCCTTCTCTTCCTCCGCCTGCTGCTCCTCTTCCTCCCCCTGCTCCTCCTCCTCCTCCTCCTCCTCCTCCTCCTAAACCTTCTCCTCCTCCTCCACTTTCGCCTCCTCCTCCTCCTCCTGCTTCTCCTCCTCCTCCTGCTTCTCCTCCTCCTTCCTAAACCTCCTGCTCCTCCTCCTCCTGCTCCTCCTCCTGCCCTCCCTCCTCCTCCTCCTCCTCCTCCTCCTCCTCCTCCTCCTCCTCCTCCTCCTCCTCTTCCTCCTCCTCCCCCTCCTCCTCCTGCTCCTCCCCCTCCCACGCTGCGGGCCCGCCCCCCCCCCCCAGTGGCGCGCGCGGCGAGGCTTCAGATGCGAGGGCGAGGAGCGGCTCGGCCGGCCCCTTGAGGAGGAGGAGGAGGAGGAGGAGGAGGAGGCCGAGGAGGAGGAGCAGGAGGAGGAGGAGGAGGAGGAGGGGAGGAGCGAGGAGGAGGAGGAGGAGGAGGAGGAGCAGGAGGAGGAGGAGGAGGCCGAGGAGAGGAGGTGGAGGAGGAGGAGGAGGAGGAAGAATTCTGTTTTGCTTCTTGGGGGGAGGCGGGAGGTGCAGCCTCCCGGCGCCCCCCGGCGTCTCACCGTCCCTTCCCGGAGGGGCTGCGGCTGGCAGTGTTGGGGCCCCTTCTCGCTGGGAGGGCGCCGCGTCACCCCACTCGGCCACGCGCAGACGGGGGAAGGGGGGCAGGCACATTAAGAACGAAGAATAACAAACAGGATATCCATAAACCTTTGGCGCTCTGCGCGGATTTCTTGGATCCGCGCGGAGCGCCCCTGGCGGCGCCTCCAGCGCCGCCCTTGGCACGCTCCGCGCGCCAGGGAGGGGGGTCTAACGCAGATTTAAGAAACTCGTGCGGAGCGCTAAATGTTTATACCGTTGCTTCTTCTTTTGTTAGAAGCATCCCTGCTTCTTCGAAGGCGCGGGCCGTCTTAAAGCTATAGGGCTGGCGCCTTCTACGAAGGAAGCAGCATCCTTCTAAGAAGGCTTCCCCCCTCCCCCCCCCTGCGCACCGCCAGCACACGCCCTGTGTTCAAAGGTGCCGGTCGAGACATGGAATCGTCTCTAGATCGAAGTTCGTAGATCCTGCCGACTATCCGGCCCCCCTCCGGTTGCTCGGTCGTTCCTTGCTTCGGCTTGCCAACCTCCAGCCGGTTTTTTTTGTTTCCCCACCAGTGGCGATGGCCAGGGTCCAGGCCCATTCAGGCGGACAGACATGCCTACAGCTCGAAGTCCGAAGTAGGAGCAGACGCTCTGAGCAGCGCCCTGGTAAGGTTTATCTTCGACCCTTCGATTCCGGCCTGTGGTCAGTGCGGACGGGGTGCGTGAGGGCGCCAGGGCCTGACCTCCTCGTCTCTTCCTCCTCGCGAGAAGGAGGAGTCGGCATGATCAGGGGCAACAGTGGGGGGAGATAGGCATAGGTGGGAACGCATCGACCCCCAATCGCCCATTCATCGCCGACTGGGGCACGATAGCCCCAACCTGCCCAGGAGGGTTCGGACTTGCTACTGGGGGCCTCTCGCCCATCTATCGGCGATGCATCGTCTATTCCATGTCGATATTTCCTCCCTCACATGAGGGTTTACAGGAAACCCGCACAATAAGGATGAACACTTTTCTAGGGCCATCGTTGCATCCTTCCCCTTTGGCGCCATCTTTGGCTACTTTCGATGGCGGCGCCCCGCTCGAAAAGCGTCGGCATGTCCCTCCAGGGCCCTTGCATCCTCAACTGTCCCCTCTCTGTCCCCTCTGGGTTAACTATAAACCTAACTGTAGAGTCACAAACAGGGTTGATTGTAGGCTTGACGCTTGGTTTGATTGTCGGGGTGAATATTGGCTTGAAAGCCCACTCTTCACCCCTCTGGCTTGATTGGTGCCATTGTATAATTGCCTCTCTCGGTTGACTCACTATTTTATGGGTTGACTGTAGGCTTGGCGATTGTTCTTTTCACTCTCTCTGCCCCCTTTAAACCGCAACAAATACCCTCATCGCCGCCGCTAGGGATCCTCCTCGAGAAAGTTCGGCCACGACGCGCTCCTGCAGAGATGGGCTGGGCTGGGGGCGATGTCTCCAGGGCCGCCGTGCCGAACAGCGGGTCCTGGAGGAAGGGGTCCTGGAGTTGCTTTTTGGGGGCTGCTCATGGGTATTTTCCGGGGTCCCTGGGCCGTCCAAAACAACGATCGGTAAGGATGGTCGAAGTAGGAGGCCACATGTGAACCCTACCCCACCACCCCACGAATTCCAGGGCGGGAGTTGGGGATCACTTCGTTCGGTACCTCCCTCAGGGCCTTGGCCGTTCACGAACAACAAGTCGGTGAGGACGGCACGTGTCAGTCCCAGGTAGGCCTCGGGCTCCAGGACCAGCTGCCAGCCAATTCATGTGATATTTAATGCGGCAGGAGGGAGGCTATAGGTCTCCTGGATGGAGGTGAGTAGATGGGGTCGGAGGATCGCGCCGCATCGCCGATGCATCGCCGATGCGGCTCGATGAGGAGCCCGAGTTTCTCCACGCCGACGTCGCCGATGCATTGCCGACGTCTCAGATGCATCGACGATGCATCGCCGATGCATCGGCGATGCGGCGCGATCTTCCGACACCATCTACTCGGACCCAATTTGGGAGGTTTCTGGAGGTGCAGAAGAACCTGTCAAGGCAGGGCTCGCGCACAGAGGGAAAGTACAGTCCATGCCCAGAAGTCCCAGAACGGTGCGGTGGTCACACCGTGGTGGTGAGTCAGTGGGGGCACTTGGTGACCGTGTTGTTTTGGGACTCGGGTCGTTCTCCGAGGATGCTTCTGGAGATGGTGGCCTCCAGGGTCCCACAACGGTGCGGTGACGGACCGCGCGGCGAGGTTCTCCTGGGATCTTCGAGGTCGTCGCACGGTCTGACGTCGGGGCTCCCAGGAGGAACGGTTCCCAGGGCTTCGCGGTGCAGTCCGCCCCCTCGGCCGAGCGCGCCGGCCCTCTTTTGTTTCTGGAGGCACCTGAGGTGACGCCCCTCGCGGAGCCTCCGGTGGCCCAACGAGGAGCAGAGAGCAGAGGCACGGGGGCCTGGGCAGACACTGCCACGTCGGGCGGAAGAGGAACGCGAGGAGTCGGGGCCAACGTCACGGGGGCCAGCGCTGGTCTGGGTCGGCCAGTCCCCTCCGAGATCCCCTGGCTGATCCGAGTGTGGTTCACTACCAGCCTCGAACGTATCCCTACTCCTAAGATTGACACGCCCAAAGGCGAGGACAATCTTAGGGATTCGCCCTCAACAAAATAAGGGAATCCCTAAGATTGGCATCGTGATGAGGAGGTGCCCAGCACAGGGACAGGGATATGTTCCAGGCTGGTAGTGTAGGAGCCGCCTGGACCGGACCTCCCAGCCCCTCCCGCCGCCATCTTGGTTTGGGTGCCAGTCGGCCGCCACAGCCTGTGCTCGCGGCACGGACCTGGCAGGCTGCGGACCACGGTGTGCGTTGACCAGGGTCATCGGGAGCCTTGAGACGGGGGTCCACGCAAACGGGGGTCAGCCAGAGCGCCCGATCTTGCAGGATCCTGCAGGGCCAGGGTCGCATTGACCCGGGTTTGGGTGCAGGATCCTGCAGCATCCTGCAGGATCCTTCGCATTGACCCGGGTTTGGGTGCAGGATCTTGCAGGAAATTGCAGGATCTTGCAGGCTTGACTGACCCAGGTCTGCATTGACCCGGGTCAGAAGATCCCTGAGGTCAGCTCTGACCCGAAGGAGGAGCTGTGTGAGCGGCAGCTTGACGGCGAGGCAGTGGGGTGGCCAGGGCACGTGCATGCTTAACGCACCTATGGTTGGTCGGTGTTGTCAATGCTGTGGCTCTTCCGTCGGCGTCAGTCTCTGGGGGTGGTTTTCTGGCCACGGCATTGTCAACATTGAGCCCAGGACGATCAATTGCCCCCGGCCAAGGAGTCGAGGTTTTGGCCCTCGGATTTGGCACAAGTGCTGTGTAGCAAACTCGCAATCCATGGAAGGTCTGGTCTCCGTGCGCGGCAGCCACGAGGCCTGCCCTCGCTCCGATTCTGCTCTCCGGCAGGAAGGCCTCAGCAACATGGGCAAGGCCACCATGCAGATCATCGATCTGATGTGCGGACAGCTCAGCTGGACCTTGGCAGTTGTGACGGGTGGCCCCCCCGCGCTGCCAGAGAGCGCCGCTTGCGAAGAGTCGGCGTCCCGTTCGTTTGCTCTCGCGGAGAGGATGGATACGTTGCACGTATCTCATGAGTACCCATTTCTGGGGTTGAGTATACAATGATATTGGCGCGCTCTCCCCAAGCAGCGATCTGACGAGTGGGCCCAAACAATTCAGACGAGATCTGAACACCGTATGGAAACGCGTGCGCGTGTGAGAGGAAACCGATGTGTACAACCCTATGTGTAACTGGGCGTCTTCTGCGGGGGCTTGCAGGGGGTGGTCCTAACTGGTACCCATAAGTTCATGCACTCTCGAACTTCCCTCCCCTCTTAAAAAAGGAGGGCAGTGGGTCGGAGTTAGAGTTTCCCCCCTTTTGAAATTCGGAGCGGGATTAAACCCACCTCTTTGCGCGCCAGCAAACGACGACGAACACGACGACGCTGACGACGGCAAACGCGACGACGATCACGACGACGACGACGATGCTGCTGCGGAACACGATTACATCAATATTGGAGTGCGTACCGACGTAGAAACTATAATGCAAAGCGTTGTGCTCTGGGCGTCGTACAAGTGGCGATGATACTGATGACATCGCCCTGGCTGGCGATACCACCTCAGCGCGCGCGAAGCGCATGGGTGCGTATTGTATATACGAACTGAAGTGAAACGCCGTGTCTCTACGACCCATTGGCCTCGGTGCGGGCGCGACGGCCAGGGGGGCGTCTGTCCCAGCCGCCGCGGTAAAAAGAATCACGCGGAAAATGCACGTCGCTCCACCATTGCCCGCCCCGCGGAGTCCTCGTGCCGTGCGGGGCCAAGACATATTCCGAGGACCGCGGGCTCGAGGGCAGGGGCGGGGGCTCTTGTGGGCCCCGGAAACGGCAGGGCCGTTTTCTCACCGTTTCCAATAAAATGCCCCTTGGAAATGGAAACGGCAAAAAAACGGCGACAGGAAACGGCAAAAAAACGGCTCCAGGATTGGAACCGGAGCCGGAACCGGTCAAAAAATGGCGACGGAACCAGTAAAACAACGGCGTCGGAACCGGCAAAAAAACGGCAAAACGGAACCGGCACGAGGGAGGGGGGGGGGGAAACAGAGGAGGGTGAGGGCGGCGGAGGGGCGGGGCGGGACCGGCCGCGCCCTCGGTGCTTGAGCGTGCCTGCGCGAGACCCCCTTACGGGACCCCCTTACGAGACGCGGGCGGCCTGTCTGCGCCGCGCACCCAGGCCAGCGGCCTGCAGGCTTGTGGTCTGGAGGGGCGTGGCCGTAGACAGTGTGGCCATGGGCAGGGCGGATACATGACGTAGCATCATGCTGCATTCTAGACGCTTCGCGTAAACCCAACAGGCTCCTTGCTGGACGACGTCACCAGTTTCGGTCTGCTCATACCCGTCAGACTCCCTGGACTGACTTTCTCGCACGGAGATCGTTTCCCACCACCACGCGGTTGTCTCGACACGACCACGACTGGGAACGCACTGCGCGCCATTTTGGCCGCGCTTGGCTTGCTCCTGGGCGACTGGTCCTCAGACTCCCTGGGTTGTAGCTTGCACGACCGCCTCAGGTGACTGACCCCTCAAACTCCCTGGGCTTGCACGACCGCCTGGCCTCTCAGACTCCCTGGGTTGCCGCCCCCCTCGCCGCCTGATCCGCGGTCCCCGCGCGCGCCCGGGAATTTAGTCGCGGCCGCAGCCCGACCGTGACTGCTCGCCGCCGGCGCTTCCGCCTGCGGCTGTAAAAAAAAAGTAAACCCAACAGGATCGCTCGGTCGCTGTATAATCAGGCTCGCGCGTATCCCGCCCGACCTTTTCGGATGCCTCCTGCGCTTTCGCTTGCGGCCGCGACAAAAAATAAACCCAACAGGCCCGTCCAGAAACGATACCCAGGCGAGCTGCCCTGATCATGGATGTGGAGGAGAATGCAGGGGAATCAGGGATCGGGAAGCCGTCATGTCCCAGTCGGGTGAGGATGGACAGGAAGGGGTGGAGAAGGAAGAGGGGGGAAGGGGGAGGGGGAGGGATATGTTACATTGGGGGAGGATGAGGAATAGGTGCATGAGGAAAATGGGGATGATGAGGATGAGGATGAGGATGAGGATAAGGATGCTGCTGCTGATGCTGATGTTGATGCTGATACTGAGCTGATGATGATACTGATGTTGATGAGTTCGATGATGATGATGATGATGATGATGATGATGATGCTGATGAGATGCCGATGCTGATGTTACTGATGATGAGGATGATGATGATCATACTGATGACGATGATGATGATGATGCTGACGATGATGAGTTTGATGATGATGATGATGATGATGCTGATGCTGCGGATGCTGAGCTGATGGTGATGATGCTGATGATGCCGATGCTAATGCTAAATATGATGATGCTGATGATGCTGCTGCTTATGCTGATGATGCTGCTGCTGTTGCTGCTGATGATGATGATGATGACGATGACGATGACGATGCTGATGATGATGATGATGATGCTGATGATGATGATGATGATGATGATGATGATGATGATGATGATGATGATGATGATGATGATGATGATGATGATGATGATGATGATGATGATGATGATGAGAGAAGGAAGAGGAGGAGGACGAGGAGGAGGAGGAGGAAGAGGAGGAGGAGGAGGAAGAGAAGGAGAATGGGGAATGAGGGCAAGCAGAAAGGCCAGAGGCCTCTTGGATGCCTCTCGGAGTCTCTTCGGATGTCTCTTGAGAGCTTCTTTGAGTCCTCTTGGGGCGTCTTGGGGGCCTCTTAGCGATCCCGGGGACCTCGTGGAGCGTCTGGGGTGCCTCGGGGGGAGCCTCTTGGGGCCTGTTGGGGGTCTCCTTGGAGCCTCTTAGGGACCTCTTGGGGCCTCCTGGGCGCCTCCTTGGCGCCTCTTGTGGCCCCCTTGTGGCACTCTTGGGAGCCTTGGGGGCCATCTTGGGGCCATATCGTATATTTCGCTCGCCCTCCCAGGAGGCCAGCATGTGGCCAAAACCTTTGTATCATCAGTGTTTTCTGCATTTTCTCCGAGGCCATCTTGGACGCTCCAGCGCCTCGCGGACCGTCTGCGTCACAGGCCGCCTCGAAGCACGCAAGGGGGGCAGGATACGGGCTGCAGGGGTTTTCCTGCCGCTCCATCTGTTTTCAGGCTGTCCGTCACCGCAAAGCTAGGCGAGACCGTGGAGACCGTGGAGACCTGGGAGACGTTGACCGTAGAGACCTGGGAAAGCGAGAACCGTCGACAATCGGAAGATAATCAGGAAAAGTCGTTGACCGAGGGGATAGAGCGAGAATCAAGAGAGAGTCGTTGACCGAGGAGGCCGTGGGACCCCGAGCGGCTGCTAAAAAAAACACAGCCCGGTCGGACCACCACTAGGGCGGCTTCGGCTTTTCGAGCGTGCGTCTTCGGGGACGCCGATGTTCCATGAAAGCCCCCCGAACCAGAATTGCAGCGGAGAGGAGGAGGAGGAGGAGGAGGAGCAGAAGGTGGACCTCCGGTGGGGAGGACCTCTGGCGCTCTCACAGTATTGATTTCTTTCGTTTAACCCCCCGCCCACCTGTGGGCCCGCAGCCAGGGATGGGCGGGCAGGATTGGTGGATAGGTTTCGGGCACTGCCGAGTCAACCTGTAGCACAGCACAGGAGGAGGAGTCTGAGGAAGGCAGAGACCGTCCTCGATTTTGCCTGGAGTCAGGGCGGGTGGCTTCGCAGTTTTCCCGTGCCGTACCGCGACGTGCGGAGCGCGGTTATCTTTGCGCCCCTGGGGGCGACCTGGCTCTCTCCTTTTGGCCCGGGGGCCAGGGATGGGATTGAGGAGTCGAAGGAGAGGCGGAGAAAGAGGAGCAGGAGGAATAGGAGGAAAAGGAGGACGAGGAGAGGGTGAGACGAGGAGGAGGAGGAGGAAGAGGGGGAGGAGGAGGACGAGGACGAGGACGAGGAGGGGGGGGGACGAGGGGGAAGATGAGGAGGAGGAGGAGGAACATCGGCGGAAAGTGTGACACCATTCGTCGTCACTTCTCGACGAGGCCCTCGTGGACCTGAGCTGGGTAGACTTGGGGCCTCATGTGGGCATCGTCGGAGCCCTTTGGGTCCTTTCGGAGGGCCTCTTTTGGGTCTCTTGGCGCCTCCTAGGTGCCTTTGTGGTCGGAAGGCTATCATTGTCTGGTCGCGTTCCCATTATTGGGCCCTTCTGGCGGCACTCTTGGGCAATTTTTTAGGCGCCTCTTGTGCGGTCATGGAGCCTTTCGGGGCCCTCTTGGGGCCCTCTTGGGGGCCTCTTCGGTCGTCTTCTTGGGGTTATCATGGGGTCCTGTTGGGCTGTTCCTGGCGTGGGAAGCTTGAGAAGGCGAGAAGTCCGAATTCATTGAAACAACAGTCCGTCGATGCACAGGCCCTCTGGGGAAGGCTCATAGGGGCTCTCTTGGCACGCCCATCGGGCCTTCTGGTCCGTCGTTGGTGTCGATGCCAGGCTTCTGGGGCCTCCGCGGCGTCCAGGAGAAGGCGGGCGGCTGGCCGGGGAGGCCCGGGAGGCCGTCCCAGAGGTGCCTTGGGGCGGGGGTTGGGCCGAGCGGAAAGGGTCCCGGGATTTTCGGGGGGGGCGGGAGGGTCGGGGCTCAATGCAGACGGGGGTCAGCCAGAGCGCCAGATCCTGCAGGATCCTGCAGGGCCAGGGTCGCACTTGGCCAGGGTTTGGGTGCAGGATCCTGCAGGATCTTGCAGGATCCTTCGCACTCACCCGGGTTTGGGTGCAGGATCTTGCAGGATCTTGCAAGGCCTGGCTGACGCGGGTCTGGATTGACCCGGGTCCGAGGATCCCCGAAGGGGGGGTATTTTTCCATGCCAGGAATTCATCCCCAGAACAGTGCTGGCACTTAGGAGCTCTTGCTTGTGTTCCAAGGGACTGGGCCTGCGCGCCGGTGTGGCGGCTATGTGGTCGCCGTC